TCGAGTTTAAAAAGCTCGATATTCGTAAAACCCCAGTGCCCAAGAAGTACATTCAAGAAACGCTGGCATCATTCGAGTGCGGTAAATGAAACAGTAATACCCATCAAGTCTCAAGGATGTGTGCAACAATCAAAATGAAGTGCACACGTCTCTCTCTTGCCCCAAAAGACTACTCACGAACAGTTTAGTGATGGTTTTGGGCATTGCGGCCAGTGGCAATATCAGTTTATTGACAAAATCAATGAAGAATTGCATGTAAAATGGATATCCTTTTGAAAGGCAAACCCCCGATCCTCAGCACAAGAGTTGCTACATTCTAGAGTTAGATTGGGGGCTGCGCTGACGATTCCCATCCAATCCACACCAAATACTGTCTGTGTTTGCAGCTTAGGGATGAAACGCAGACAGCCAAGTTTACATTTAGCCTTCCCACAGGTTCACATTACATCTCCTGAACACTTTTTTACAACATATGCTCTCCACTATCTCTTTCACTTCTTGATTTCATGGCCTTCCCTTCCATTCCGTTACAAGCAAAAGTTAATAACCAGATAGAATAAGTATGAAAACGGAAACGTAAGAATGATTATATTTTGGATATTCCGGTATGAAACTGATAAACGAAAAATCCACTGTGCAATGGGAAAAAAAATAAAGCATTAATCCTTTATTTTAATTACGAAAACAAAATAATGTGAATAACAGCAACATTGTCCATGCATTCCAAGTTGGTTTTGGGGAATCCATCCAAAATAATTTTTAACTGGCCACTGTGAGGAAAATTACCGTTAGTGAAAATGATGTTAGCTAGCGACAAATTGTACCGTTCTACTAAAATCAACAGAGAAAAATCGAGAAATTCTAAGTTGTACCAGTGAAAAGAGGAAATATGAAGCTGAAACAACACATGACTGAAGTATCAAGGTAAGTGTGTTTCTCCTTTCATGAGAAATGCAAAGACTTAAAAATAGTAAAATATAAACCGCACTTTTACTGAAAAAAATAAAAATTCTTGTCTGCACCTTCTTTTTTCCCCCAGAAAAACACTATTCAACTTCTCAGTGTGCTATTTTAGTGAATGAATTACTCAGCTTTTGGAACATTCACTTTCTTCAGTGATTATTCATACAGTTAAGCTGCGTAGTCCTCAACACATATATTCTAATTCTTTATTAAAATTCAATTAAATTCTAATGAAATGTACTGTGAACAAAAAACACACTTGTATGAGGAACGGCTCGGAAGAACAGGAATACATTATTACGAATCAACCAGTGAAAAAAAGTCTACACTTTCATTTTATATGCCTGGAATTCTTCCAATAGTCATTTTTTATACAACTATGTACACACAGCCGATTAAAAAAATTAATGAAAAATCGAACAAAAAAAAAAAAGAATGAAGAGGC